AAGGGGCTGTATCTTAACAAGGGATGCTCCAATGAAGTTTCTTTATATGAAAGATCCTATCTTTTTTTCGAGGAGGAATCACCTCCTTAAATGTTTTACACTTATTCAGTTACACCCTGTATAATCTCTTGAAAAAGTGAACATCATGCAGATTTCGTAACCATATAAGATTTGTACCATATTCATAGAATAGACTCTTTCAGAATAAATTGATTCAGATGTAACTTTTTCAACTTTATTTATTCAGGTTAAAGAACGTCTTACCCCATACTTAAAGGATCCACATGCCTGTGATCTATTCGATAAGCTCTTAGTACTCGATCCCTCCAAACGTGTTGACGCGGATACGGCCCTCAACCACGATTTCTTCTGGACTGATCCCATGCCCTGCGATCTAGGAGAAATGTTGGCTAACCATACACAGAGTATGTTTGACTTCTTAGCCACTTCAAGACGTTCAACACAAATGAGACCTAGGCCATCTACATCTACTGTTCAAGACAGTGGATATCAGGATAGAGTTTTCTAGTGGAAAGTTGGTGTTATGTTATGTGACGTAGAATTGAAATGGAATAAACTGGACTGTTTGGAGATCAGCCAAAATGTAATCCTCCATTATCAAAAACCCTTGTGAATTAATGTGAAAATTAAACCAGTGTGACTAAAGAAGTAGTGCAATTTTTTTTTTCAAATTGATATGGCATGACATTCATTACTTATCAGAAGTAACATTTTTGTTAGTGTCAGTTTTTTAAGGTAGAAGTACCCTTTCATTGGGTAAACGGTTATAATGTGGCGTATATCTAGGTTGTATCCACTGAGGATATTGTTGTTAATATTTTTATAAATTGTGATATTCAATTGTTGAGTATGAAATCTGTTTTAAATCTGTTTTTCCGGTAATCTATGATCATCCAGGTGTCTAACATCTCATTCAAGTCTATAGTAATTGTATTTCATGTGATTGTATACAAACGAATGTATATGTACATCAATTATGACTGAAAATTACATTCAGCTATGAAATTGAAATTTCTTTTGATGGAAAAAGTGTTTCACAATGGTTTCAAACTTATTTCCAAACGGAAATCGGTTGTGGGAATTATTCATGGGAAAATGGAAAATAATTATTCGACCACATTTCAGTCAGTTTTTTTATGGCCAAAACACAAGCACTACAGGAAAATCCTTAATCCCCAGCAATTGATGTAACCAAACTGTGGCAGGTTGTTTGCAAAAAGACTGGAGAAAAATCAAGAAAGGCAGAATGAAATTTTCAATATGAGACGAAAAACAGCTCCGACACACAAAATAGTAGTTGAAGTTAGGGATAAAACCAACTGAGTAGGATAACCTAGGGATTGAGCTTAGTTATGACAAAATTCAGTTATAATTCAGAGACTGAACTAAATGCATGATGGGGAGTTGAAGTTGGGGATTGAATCAACTAACAAAAGTAACTTCTGAGATGCATTTCAGAGAGATACCCTTACATGGCTGCATAGTTTGGGCTTTGTTTGGCTTCAGGGAAGGGTAGTTGTACGGCCGAGAATGGATTCTCACCGCTGGGTGAATTTGTTTCACCCAGTAACATCACTCAGTAACATCACGTCGCCGATTGGACAGGCCTTTAAATCGCGAGAGGTCGTCGATATCGTAGTCTACATGTGCCCTATCTAGAGGGTTTTCGTGAGTTTCCGCAATTTATAATACTCAACATATCAAAGGACCTATCAACGTTACACATGTATCACGGAGCGTCAGTGACCATCCATAGTATATTGATTTGAACCCGTTCCAGAACTTCAAAACGTTGTTCTTTAGACTGAGCTTGCTATGCTATGAGGGGATATAGTTGGGAAATATCCTCGCTTCGAATCAGTCTTCACGGTTTGTATGTGTTGAGCCCAGATAAGTCTGTGGTCTATAGTAAGAGTCAGGTACACCACCTGAGAGCCGCAGGCAATGTCTCGTCCTTTCATGTTAACTCTTTGCTGCGGATCTTGGCGGCCCCTGCTCTTCCGAAGAAGCTGTCGAGATAGCATTCTCGAGGCGTGCCACTGCTGCCTCTGAAGCTGTTATGGTTTCGAAAGGTCAGCGTTAGGTTACTGACAGCTAAAATGTTCGAGAACATTGGGTTTGTGTGTTAATTGATAATGGGTAGGTTCCGCTTGTTCCAGCCATTTAATTGTTGGGCCTGTCAGTAGATTCATTGTCAGCAGGACGGGTAACTGTGTCAGCAGGTTCCCAAAGTCCTTCGACCAGACTAGAAATCTGATTGCTTTGGTTTTCTGATTAATTCGGCTGTTACTTGATGGGGATCCATAGTAATTTCTTTCGGTAATTGATTTGGGTTCTGGCGGCTCTCGCAAAGGAGATGCCGCCTCTGACCGCGCTAGACCCTGCTGGACTTTTCGATGGGGTAGGCTGTGGGTTTTGTCTAGGTTTTTGTTACCTGTGTTTTAGAATAAAAGACAGGTAACACAAGTCAACGGTGTTTTTGTCACATGAACTTTATGATGTGTTTTGTTTATGTTGGCCTACCCCCATTATAAATATATAATAATTTTGTTTCAATCACATCCAGTTTTTTGTGACAGCTATATATTTATTTCTGACCTAATATACGTCATTTAGGCGGCTGTATAACTATTGTATCAGCTAACATACAAGAATCAACTTTTACATCCCAGCGTCGAAATTTCACCCCATTAATTGAACAGTGCTTTTAAGAATATTTCGGATTAACTGTGCAGCATCAAGATAAATTCTGGGTCCCAGATAAATGTTGTGTAACGTCTGTGAGACTCCTATTAGGTTGGGCTTTTATTTGAGTCAAACAAAAATAAAAGGCATTACAACGAAGTCCAAATATACTATCCAGTATCCAAGCTTGTCTTCGTCCAACAGACACATCCTACATATAATAGTCCCGAACAGTCTTCCGGACTGTAATCCCGACCAGAAAGTCGGGATTACAGTCCGGAAGAACTTGTTCGCATGAGGAATATGAAAATAGTGACCCAAGTTATGAATCGCAAACACAAAGTGATTTAAATGATTCAGTACGTGATTTGAATTTGTCTAAAAAACAGGCAGAGCTTTTGCTGTCTAGATTAAAGGACTATAAATTTACTTTCAAAAGTTTCTTATTTTCGACATTGTCACGATGAAATAAAAGCTTAACTTTTCTATAGTAAATAATTTAGTCCATTGTCATAATATTCATGTTGTGATAAATTTATTGAATTTTGAATATGGTCCAAGTCACTGACGATTGTTCATTGACTTCTCAAAAACTAGTTTGAAAGCAGTGTTTCTGCATAACAGAAACGAACACCCTTCAGTGCCGGTTGCTCATGGTTCTGCTATGGAAGAGACTTACGAAAATATGAGATTTCTCCTTGAAAAAGTTAAATACAGTGAACTCGCTTGGAAAATTTGTGGCGATTTAAAAGTTATTGATTATTTGCTTGGACTATATGTTGATTACACACAATTTTGTTGTTTTATTTGCGAATGGGACAGCAGAGAGACAGAAAAAGTCACTAATAAAATAAAATGTGGCTCAAGCGTGGGTCACTTATTCCAGGCCGTATAAATGTTAAAAATAAGCTTTTAGTGATTTCTGATGACATACTTTTACCACCGTTGCACTAGGTCTGATGAAAATATTTGTAAAAGTTATCCGCAAAGATGTCAGTGGATTTTTATATCTGAAAGAAATTCCCCAAACCCAGCGAAAATTAAAGGGAGAATATTTGTAGGCTAACAAATATGACAACATATGAAGGATTAGAGCTCTGAAGGAGAACTAAATGACCAGGAAAAAATCGCCTGGAAATGTTTTGAGAGTGTTGTCCAAAATTTCCTAAGAAATTATAAAGCGGAAAACACAAAGACTTGATAGGAGAACTAATTATGTCAGATAAAGCTTTGTCCTAAAAAATACGTATGTTTGATTCTCATTAATTTTTTTCATTGATACAATATTGTTTAGTGACCCTAGTAGATTCAAAGTTTGATATAAGTTTTCATGTGACAAAAAACAGTTAAAATTTTGTTGACCAGTGTAATTAGCGGGGTGCTATCCTTTGCTGTTAAAACATCTCGCAGGGGTTTGTCTAGACCGCTTGCATTCAGTCGTCACATGACTACCGACGCATTTAAGGCACGCGGGAATTGCCTTGCAATTCCACTGCGAGTGTCCGAAACGTTGACAGCGGTAACACTGCCCGACCGACACCCTTGGTTTCAGCGGTTCCCTCTGACATGCACATTCATGTCGCCCCTTACAGGTGCTTTTGTCCTTTTGGAATAAGAACCAGTATAAGGAGTAGTGGTCTCTTATTTGCTTGTCTCAATCGAGAAACCGATATAAGGTCGAAACTCTTAGCAGTGATATCATCCTTGATATCAATTGCTTAGAGGAATTCAGAAACTCTTAGAAACAGCACCCTCAGAGGCTCATTCTCGAGCATTATGTAGGTATGATAAGGAATTTTCTCCTCAAGGATGTTGATCATTTTCCTGTAATCATCAGTGCTGGTGGGTTGGACTGTGATTCCATCGTTTATGATGACTGCTTTCAAGAAAGTTTATTTCTCGCGTGACCTCTCGGAATTCAACCCACTTTTCTTTGAGCCTAATAATAATAGGCTGTGGGTAAATCGTTTTCTTTTTGGTACCTGTTCTACGACAGGTACTTCCATGACTTCAACAGGGGTGCCAGAAACCTTAGTGGTACCTGTTCTACGACAGGTACTTCCATGACTTCAACAGGGATGTCAGGTTTCTTGAGTGGTGTTGACATCCTCTCACGCTACCTGAAAGGTAGCTGGAGAATTGATTTCTCTCGTTACCTGGGTAGTTGAGAAAATATCTCGTTCAGTTACCTGAGAGGTAACAGGGTTATTGACCTCAATAGTCTGAGCTTTTTCAGGTATTTGAGATTTCCTTTGGAAAATCTCGGGCATTATTACGCAGGTTGTCAATTTATTCGCGTCTTCTTGACTCTCTCCGTCAGAAGAGAATTGGAAGTATCGTTCTATTTTCTTATTGGAAATGTCTGGTTTGCTGTCCGAATCTGGTGGTTTAATGCGTTTGGGATAGGATATTACCGATCAGTTTCTTTCAAAGTATTGAAACTACATGCAAAGGATGAACTTTGAACGAATATATTTCACAAACTGTTACCATTTGAGAGATAGAATCATAGGTTTTTACTGTTTTTTACAAGTTTTGATAATTCAAAAACAACTAACCCCACATTTAATATATAGGTACGTAAGTATATTAAAAAGTGTTGAGAAATGAGAACGACTATAATGAAACAGAATAAAACTAAAAAAAAAATACGATTTGTTTTATTGAAAACATGAACAATGTCAATTGGTGAAAATATAAAATTAGCTTATGAGTAACAGTTTACAGTGTTATGCTTTGTCATATTCTTTTTCAGACTATT